GTAAATGTAACACTGCTCTAATATCTGTTTGCTAACTGTGTAGCTAAAGGCAGAAAATGATTAGTTTGGCATGAAGGCCTTGACACACCGGATGTGATTTTGCTGGACAAAATTGCGGCATTTATTTTTTTGAACCAAGCTTGCTTTTTCTGATCCAAAAGCAGAAATCTGACCAATCAGATTATGTTTGGCACACCAGTACGGTACATACAATCAGCTCTCTGTAATTATTTCTTTGCCTCCTCAGATGTGGTCTCAACTCTGCCAACAACAGCTCAAACTACTCCGCTGTCATCCCGAGATATGTATGAAAGTGGTCGTCATACAGCTTCAACTCCTGGATCAAACCATGAAATTCTTCCTGGTGTTGCCTGATGAGAATTAGAGGAACCCAGAATTTCAGTTTCTTCCTTTTCTTGTTCAGAAACATCAGGAACAGCTTATCATTGCTTTATAATGATTTAATTTTTTTCACAGTGCATGTGAAATGTGATTTGCCTGTTTATACAATACACAACGAGTTTGGATCCGAAGAAATGGGAATTTCACTTTGGTGTTTTTGCAGTGTGTTCGGTGTGTAATGACCTTAAGACTGTTTAAAACCCTATAGTACCACAGAGTAAGTAGTACTGTTTCTCAGATAAGCCTAGAGGCCTAGAGTAGAGTCACTGAATTTCTTCTGGATTTTTTTTATGGTATGATCTGACAAATAATCAAATAAATAACTGTGCTTCAGTTTTTTTGTCAGTGAAATTGTGTGGGCTCAAATTGTGGTCATAAATATTTTGTACTTGTAAATCAGTTTCGTACTTGTAAATTAGGATTCGTATGTGGAAAAAGAATGTGTGTGTGTGTGTGTGTGTGTGTGTGTGTGTGTGTGTGGGTGTGAAAGTGTGTGTGTGTGTGTGTGTGTAAAACAGATTTGTGTGTGGACTCAGCCAAAAAATATGTGTGAAACTCTGCACTCAAGTTTCAAGTACAAGTACGATTCGATAGAAGCTAGGTCCCCTAACTTTCAGTAGCTGTTGAAAGGATAAAGTTTTGGTATATCAGTGGTTAGAAATACTTTAGGATTCGTTTAACACAAAGTCGGGGCTGACCCGGGATCATGGCTGTGAGTCACAGTGCGCAGCATAAAGGTACTTTCACATCGGACGCAGCATGTGCTGCTAATGCTAACTGCTAACTAAAAGCCAAGGATCCAGAATTTGTTGCGCTGGCTGCTGAGCTCTGTGGGTTTTTGCAGCAGCTCTACCTGTGCTAGATGCACCTGCTCCTTGTTGTTTCTATCTCTGACTTTATGTCCTCTACAAGAGTTTCTGTTTTTTTTGCTGGTTCCTCAGATATTCAATAAAAAGATGTATGCTCATTCATAATGAAGAAAGCTTTGTAACTATCCCCACTAGTGAAGACTGTCATTTCCACAATAAGTTTAGATAACCATTTGCACCAGTCAGATAACAAAACATAACACAACAATATTGTTATTTCACATAATCAATCATTTGCAACACTTCCTTTGTTTCTTGTGGAATATGATACAAACCGGATTCCAAAAAAGTTGGGACACTAAACAAATTGTGAATAAAAACTGAATGCAACGATGTGGAGATGGCAAATGTCAATATTTTATTCAGAATAGAACATAAATCATGGAACAAAAGTTGAAACTGAGAAAATTTATCATTTTAAGGGAAAAATATGTTGATTCAAAATGTCATGGTGTCAACAAATCCCAAAAAAGTTGGGACAAGGCCATTTTCACCACTGTGTGGCATCTCCCCTTCTTCTTACAACACTCAACAGATGTCTGGGGACTGAGGAGACCAGTTTCTCAAGTTTAGAAATAGGAATGCTCTCCCATTCTTGTCTAATACAGGCCTCTAACTGTTCAATCGTCTTGGGCCTTCTTTGTCGCACCTTCCTCTTTATGATGCGCCAAATGTTCTCTATAGGTGAAAGATCTGGACTGCAGACTGGCCATTTCAGTACCCGGATCCTTCTCCTACGCAGCCATGATGTTGTGATTGATGCAGAATGTAGTCTGGCATTATCTTGTTGAAAAATGCAGGGTCTCCCTGAAAGAGATGACATCTGGATGGGAGCATATGTTGTTCTAGAACTTGAATATATTTTTCTGCATTGACGGTGCCTTTCCAGACATGCAAGCTGCCCATGCCACACGCACTCATGCAACCCCATACCATCAGAGATGCAGGCTTCTGAACTGAGTGTTGATAACAACTTGGGTTGTCCTCTTTGGTCCGGATGACATGGCGTCCCACATTTCCAAAAAGAACTTCGAATCGTGACTCGTCTGACAACAGAACAGTCTTCCATTTGCCACACTCCATTTTAAATTATCCCTGGCCCAGTGAAAACGCCTGAGCTTGTGGATCTTGCTTAGAAATGGCTTCTTCTTTGCACTGTAGAGTTTCAGCTGGAAATGGCGGATGGCACGGTGGATTGTGTTCACTGACAATGGTTTCTGGAAGTATTCCTGAGCCCATTCTGTGATTTCCTTTACAGTAGCATTCCTGTTTGTGGTGCAGTGTCGTTTAAGGGCCCGGAGATCACGGGCATCCAGTATGGGTTTACGCCCTTGACCCTTACGCACAGAGATTGTTCCAGATTCTCTGAATCTTTGGATGATGTTATGCACAGTTGATGATGATAACTCCAAAGTCTTTGCAATTTTTTGGTGGGTAACACCTTTCTGATATTGCTCCACTATCTTTCTGCGCAACATTGTGGGAATTGGTGATCCTCTACCCATCTTGGCTTCTGAGAGACACTGCCACTCTGAGAAGCTCTTTTTATGCCCAATCATGTTGCCAATTAACCTAATTAGTGTTAATTGGTCTTCCAGCTCTTCGTTATGCTCAAATTTACTTTTTCCAGCCTCTTATTGCTACTTGTCCCAACTTTTTTGGGATTTGTTGACACCGTGTAATTTTGAATCAACATATTTTTCCTTTGAAATGATACATTTTCTCGGATTAAACTTTTGATCTGTCATCTACGTTCTATTCTGAATAAAATATTGACATTTGCCATCTCCACATCATTGCATTCAATTTTTATTCACAATTTGTTTAGTGTCCCAACTTTTTTGCAATCTGGTTTATAATAACTTAGCTGATGTCTCAAATACACTGCCGCACTTGTAGGCCCTGCAACCAACTGCTAATATTTCATAACCACAGGTCATAGCCAAGTTTGCGTTTTTGGTATTTCTGGATGATCTGAGGATAAACTCTTAAATGTGTATCAAAGTACCCACAAATTGTACCTTAGGGTGTTGTGCTTCCATAGCCTTCTTGCCATCCCAAGCCCAGCTCCTCTTGGTGAAGTAGTTCACTGTTGCGAACTCAATGAGGGCAGAAAAGACAAAAGCATAGCAGACGGCAATGAACCAGTCCATGGCTGTAGCATAGGCCACTTTGGGGAGCGAGTTCCTCGCACTGATGCTAAGGGTGGTCATGGTCAGCACAGTGGTCACCCCTGGGTGCAAACAAAGTTAGACATGACGATTTTAAATTTAGTTTTTATGAGCCAGCTGGAAACAAATGACAGACTGGCCTCACTCAGTGAAGGTGGGCACTTTAATAACTCCTAACTGTCAGCTTGTGCAGTGCTGCTGCTCAGTGAGCGACTGTTATTATTCTCCCTGGTATGAATGCGCATGATGGAAATATTACCCAGTTAAATAAGAAGTTTTTTTACTTTTTTTTTTTTTTAAGGATTAGTACGTAAGCAGCTTCACTCACCAAAAACAGTTCTGGCAGGAACTGACTCTCTGTTCAGCCAAAATGACACCTGGGACAGGATTACAGTCATGAAACATGGCATATACGTCTGGATGACAAAATATCCAATCTTCCTCTTCAGGAAGAAATGGGCCATCATCACTGTATACTGTCCTGAGGGGAAAGAAGCAAATAAAAAGGATATAAGGTTAGATAAGGACAACAAACAACAGCGTCCTAATAACAGAAATATCTACTTAAAGATGCACTTTGAGAATAGAGGAATTATTAATGTGCGACTTGACCTCCTTACTGAACAAAAGATGTTTAGTCTACCGCATTGGGCATGTCTTTATTTTAGAACAAACTACCAGCTGTGTGATCAAAAAAACAAGTAAAATGGCTGCAATGGTGCTTAGTCACTGGATAAAAGGAATGAAAAGTGTCATTTGAGAAGCTCCCCTTCTTTCCACTATTCTACCATTAGACTAATGAAATAATCAGAGGTGTTGGAGACTGGTGAAAATGTGTAAAGAGAACATTTCAGTTAAACATAACAGCAAAATGAACCTGACTTCAGGTCTGTTATTAAAAGGAAAAATTAGCGTAAGTGGTGTTAATTACTGTGAGAACACGAGAATAGATTATTATGCAGTTAATGTCTGGGTTCAACAATGGGCCATGACAGTGGGAGGTAAAAAGTGTGTTGAGAGGTGGGAAGTGGGAGGACAGAATACTCTGCTAAACAACAGAAGATTGCATTTGAGGGTTTTAAATAAAAATCTCCATTGCCAGCAGCAGTTTGTGACTGCAGGTGCTGGTAAACTATGAAAAACCTAATGACTGTATTCCATACACTGGGGCACACGTACACAAGCCGCTCTCTCTCTCCCTCACAAACACACACACACACAC